GCGTTCTCCAGACGTAAACTCGGCCAGAAGTGGGAAAAATGTGAAAGAAGACTCTCGTCAAACCATATTACTCGCTTCCACTGCTCTATAGTCCAGGCTTTATGACTTAAACACACCTTTTCCTGTTACAGGCATTAGCATCACTGATGAGCGGCTTCTCAATTGCAGCACGGCCAGCAATTCCTGTTTATGAAGCTCCCTTTTAATTGTTTTGGTACTCAAAGGGTTCGGTCGGTAACACAACATTCATTTCAGCAGTAACTTTTTTGCAGCTGTGGTCTTCTTATTTTTCGTCACAATTGGCCTTAATGATCGTCTGTCACGATCACTCAGGACACACTTTCGTCCGCGCTGTGATTTAGCAGATGATGTTTTTCCGCTTTTCAAATATGCGGAATAAATCTTCGATACAGTACCTCTTGAAACACTAAACACCTCGGCTACCTTGCTTACGGAAGCACCTACCATACGTGCTCCAACAATTTGCCCACGTTCGAAGTCTGTTAACTCTGACATAATACAATGACAACCTCACACAACAGTACTCCGACAATTGAACTGTTTAGCACATTTACGAAGTTGCATAGGTGGCGTCAGTAGTCAAAAACGCCAGCGCCACCTACATATTTCATTAAAATCAATCTTTCTTTTCAAACATGCATTTCACAAGGTGTTTCCATATTTTTGTCCATCGACTGTATCTCTTACGGACTTTTTTGTGCATAAATGCTTTCATGCCATTATTTTTGTAGTAACTGCTTCTGAGTTAAAATGCCATATAATAAGGCTTAGACATTATGAATAATGTCTTGTATTTTAAGTAAATTTATTCTGATATTCCAGAACTTTTTTGATGGTATGTGGATTTATTTCAAACAATTTTATAATTATTTTTATGAAGAGCTTGTATGTTTATGCAACAGTAACTTAACTTTTGATATATCATGGATACTGATACATTGAGTGCTTCACTGTGTTACAGCTGATGAATAGTAGCATTTCTGTAATGTTTTGGATTGTGATATGTGCCTGCAGTTCAAATATCTAAATTCTAAATATTGAATTACAAAGACTGGTAATTATAATGAATAATTTCAGTAAAAATTACTATTTTACACTCACTACTTTAACGACTGTATGAATGGTACTATTAAATTTTTAATGTTACAAAGAACAGAACCTTAGTGAAATCTAAATAACACTAAATGATTAGATGAATCAATTTTCAATACCATAAATATCTGATTTTGCACGCAATGAACTATTTTCTGTTCTCATCATCCTCATATACTGTATCAAACCATAGAGTTGTAAGTGGAATACACGTTCGTTTTCGGGGAAAAAAAAAAAAAAAAGGACAACATTGCATTTTCAATGGTTAGTACTAGGAAAATAATTCCATTTCAGCTGATTTGTTGCATGTCACAAACTCAGTTGCAGAACTACAACAATTTGCAGTTTCCTTGCTTGGCTAGCAATATTTAAGAGCAATGTGCTACAATAACACTTTGTCACAAATGATTTTGTAATAATAAACAAATTGTTAGAACATTAAAACTTATACACAGAAATTAATTCTATTTAATATAATTATATAGTTATTACTGTATTATTATGCCTGCCAAACTATCATATTTCTGAAATATGCCAAGTAAAAAAAGTTGCCAAACTCTAGAAGTATAAAATAGCCATCAGAGGAACTGACTGATCATCATACCATTTGGTGGTTGTTAAGAAAAAGTTTAAAATTCCCATGTCATTTTTTCAACTTCATGGGGTTTTGGTGGCCTGGCTGGCATGGCTGCACAAATCTTGTGCAGATGGGAAGTTATAATACCCTGGAATATTTAAATTGTTATTGCTTAATTGTTTATTAACTGCATCTTTACTACTAATATAAAAACCCAAAGAGGTTTTGTGAGTGTAACATTGCAAGCTTGTTCTTAGGAGCACTGGTGCACTGCGGAACGTTGTTTATCATGCAAGTGTATCATCATGAATCAAGTTTTTAAATTTCTGGATTTTTTAAAGATTGTTATATTCTCTTAATTGTTACCATATGATTGACTATACATTAAGACACAATAACACGTTGAACAAATACTAATTCAGAAGTCAAACAAACAAAAATTAGCGTTATATTTTCACAATTTTCACAGGACTAGTTTCGATGGTTTTACCGAACCACCATCCTCAGCTGCAAAACCGCAAATGTTTGCAGCTGAGTATAGTCATTTGTGGTTTTGCAGCTGAGGATGGTGGTTCGGTAAAACCATCGAAACTAGTCCTGTGAAAATTGTGAAAATATAACGCTAATTTTTGTTGTTTGATTTCTGAATGACTACACATTTCCGAGTAATTCTCCACATATGTCATATACATCGAACAGCCATTACATTTTGACCACCTTTCATCTACAACAATGGGCTTGCCCAGGAACAAAACCACTGTGCGTGTGTGGCTGATGTCAGAGTATATAAAGTGGCTATGCATTGTCTTTCCAAACATAGTATAATTAGTTATTAATAACATAATGGGAAAAGCAGCTGATTTATCGGACTTTGATAAAGGTCAAATTGCTATGGCTCGGTGACTGGAAACATCAATATCAAAAACAGCGTGTTTAGTGAGCTGTTCACATGCAGCTGTTGTGACCACATATCGAAAGTGGTGTATGGATGGTGAAATGACAAGTCGCCAGCCAGCAATGTGTCGCTAACGGTGCATTGATTCCACAGGAGAGCGGAAATTGCTACACATTATTCATCATAACCAAAGATCTACAACAGCCGAAATCACCACCAGCTACAACAGTGGCAACACAGACAGTGTTTCCCAACACACTGTGCAGTGTAAATTGCTGCATATGAGCCTATGTAGCCGGATGCCAAAGCACGTCCCTCCACTGACAGCACGTCATCGCCAGCTGCATCTGCAATGGGCCAAGAAACATCGGAATTGGACATTAGAAGAATGGAAGAAAAGTTGCAAGGTCCAATGAATCACCACATCGATGAGTGTGTGCTAATATGGCGATTTCTAAATGAAACCCTGGCTCCTGGATGCACAGTCAGACAGAGACAAACCGGTGGTGGGGGCTATAATGGTATGGGCAATGTTTCCATGGAGCACATTAGGACCCATAATCCCCACAGAACAATTCCTGACATCTGTGCTCTACATGCAGACGAAGTTAACCCATTCATGACAACAGTATTTCCAGTAGGGAATGGCATTTATTAGCAGGATAATACACCATGTCATAAGGGTCAAATCATCAGGAAGTAGTTTGAGGAACACTCCAGTGACTTTCAATTCATGTCTTGGCCCCCAATTCACCTGACATTAATCCAATAGAGCATTTTGTGGTCCCACCTGGAAAACCAAATTCGTGCTGCCACGCTACCCACTCGCGATGTGCAGAAACTGCAGGACCAGGTACTTTGAACTATCTATCAGAACCTTGCGAAGTCAATACCACACCAGTTTTGGGGGTTAAAGGTAGTCCTACATGTTATTAAAAGGGTAGTCATAATGTAATGGCCTTTCGGTGTATGTGTTACTTGCAAAGTATGAAATTCAGCATTCTATAGAATGCCTAAAACTAGCTAGCAATGTATGAAACAATTCATATTTCACACATTTCCTAGGCATTCAATAGAAGGCCAAATGACAAACAAGCAAAGTATGAAATACATTTCTGATTCATTTTGAAAAACCGTAACTACTTATCAGAAGTTAGTAAATGATGTAAAAAAGCCAAAATGACTACTAAGAAGGAACCACAGGACTATTGGCCGCTGAATCGCTAGGATGAAATGTTTGTAGAAAACAAAAGTGCATTCATTTACCCTGTTAATGAAAGCGTTATTACTATACAGTATTACGCCATGGACGGTGAGTTATTTTCTGCATTTCATGAAAACTCATTTGAGTACTGCACAGGAACATTATGAAAACTCATTTGAGTACTGCACAGGAATTATAACAGGAAGTCGAAAGAACTTTCAACCAATTACAAAAATGTTACATGTAATGATATTGAACCATAACAACCATCTTTTTGAGCCCTGCCAGAAAAAACAAAAAGGTATTAAAAAGGATACTGATGTGAAACTTATGATTGTTTCTGAATTAAACTTCCGTTGCCCAGTCTCAGCCAGAGAGAAAATACAAATTTATTACGCTGTATTAAGATTACCTCACTATCTTTTTTTTTTTTTTTTTTTTTTTTAATATTTCGAAGAACAGTTTTTTAATGGCACTTTTTCATTAATTTTTCAAAATAACATTTGTTTTTTAGAGGAAAAAACATCTTTTAAATAATAGCTTTATCATAACCTTTTTTTTTCATACTTTGCCTAAAGAGCATTTGTCATTCTATAGAATGCCTACGTAAAGTATGTAATAATTCTTTTTATTTAATACTTTGCCTAAAATCGTCTGGCATTATATACAATGCCTAGGCATTCTATAGGATGCTGGCATTTCATAATTTGCCAGTAACATGTATACATATTATGGTTCATGCATTTTCAGAGAATTTCCTGCCTAAATGAAAATCTTTCTTTTTTATGCAACAGAAGTATTGTGTGATATTCTGCTAGAAATACTTCGCTTAGATGGATTGAAAAAATAGTACAGTATAAAGTTCCAGATCCGAACTCGTAGGGATTATTCTGGAGTTTAATTACTTACTATAAAATTTGAAAGAAATAACAGTTGGGAAAATATTTGGCAGTGATTGTGCTATCGCAGCCACATAATACAGCTAATAAAATGTAAAGTTTAGATAAAACGTGTAATTTGAAAGAATTTCATTTGTTGTTATATGCTTTACTTTTCATTAAAGGAAAGTTGATTTTATATAGAGAGTATAAAAGCAAAAATAACAGAAAAAGGCTCTAATTACATAAAGAAAATAATATAAATATTTCTGTTCAAAATGATATGAGAAAGCATAGCTTAAAGGATCAACATGTACTATAAATTTTTCTTACATTGTCTTGAATAGTTTGGATTACATGCAGCCTCAGTAAGCACTATTGGATGATCAACACAGCCTTGTGTATTAATTCCAAGATGATTAAAGATGTAATCAAAAACTGTTTCCTGAATAATGAAATTCAAAATTGCTGTTAAAAAATATACATGAGGAAAAAGACTAAAAACTACATTTATTTACATTATTTTGAATAAAATGCACAAAAATCTCTCCTCCTCCTAAGAAAAAAAAAAAAAAAAAAAAAAAGAGGGGGCAAAATTCCCAAAAATAAAATCAGAGAATAAAATTAAAATTTGTTTTGATTAATGTTTTAGGAATTGGTAAGATAAATAAAAAATTTGATTCTATACCAAGTACAGAATGCATGATACTAGAACACATATTATACTGATTCAAAATAAAGTAGTAGATCATAAAATTAGCAAAGCAACAGCCTTTTGTTTGCCATACTACTCGTATTATATAAAATAAATATATGTAAATATAGTTATAAGGTCACATAATAATGACATATGATTATTTCTGTCCATAAAAACGTTTACATCTTGCAAAAATATTCTACATACTATAGAGACATTAAGTATTTTTTGGAAGCAGACAAGATGAAAAATTAGCAACTGCCTTCGCTGGAAATCAAACCACGGACCTCTGAAACACCGGCTCAGTATGCTGACCACAACACCATGCTAGGAAGGTGAGAGAAATACCATATATACTCCCCCTTTTAAAGGGCGACTGGGATTTTTAGAGGACCCAATTGCCAAATCCTGGGTGAGGAGAATCATCATCCAACACCCTTTTAGTTTGGGTGCCATTATAGAGGCATTAGGTATTTTTGGAAGCAGACAAGATGAAAATTATCAACCGCCTTCGCCGGGAATCAAACCATGGACTCTGAAATACCGGCTCAGTGTGCTGACCACTACACCATGCTAGGAAGGCGGGAGAAATACCTTATAATACAAAACACTTGTTCAGAGATAAAGCATACATACTAATGTAATACATGTGTGAAATAATAAATACACTTGTAAAATCTGTGTATAGAAAAGACTTTTAAATTCAGTATTTGTGGCCATTCTAACTTAAGAATACTGATATTTCAAAGGACGCTCATGGACAAAATCTAATTTCTAAAATTCTATTTAAAACTTTAAGAATGTATGCATTAATCTGTTGGTGACAATGGGAAGAGATTCTGTTTTCAATATATTTTTGGAACCTGAAAATAGCAGTAACCACTGGCATTACTAGAGCTTTTGGATTCTATAGTTATGGCACTGTATGCTAACCCCCTCCAAAAAAATCTGCATGCTAAGGGGGGGGAACCCACTTTTCAATTTACACCATTTTAAGAAATAATATCACAATTTATACTAGTCTAAGAAAGAAAATAAAAGCCAAAACAATTTTTGAATAATAACGATTTTTGTTAGGGCTAGATTAACTATTACAGTCAAAAGTCTTTAATCCGGACATCCATAATCTGGACCTCAAAGCTACAAACTTTCTGAGCATAATACGTTAACGCATGTGGATAATACCTTCATGCATGCACATAATACGTTTATGCATGTACATTTAATGTATAACGGACGGTATAAGCTAAGCTAAAATTACCTAATTATCTATTTCAGTTAATGTTGCAGATTGTGTTGTTCCTTAATCTTCTAATTGGATCCGGCTTATTATTTTTTGCAGACTGTTAGAGCAATTTCATAAAAGTAAGCTTGAATTTTCGATTATGTCAAAAAGAATTTCCGATTCTGGAGCTACCAAAGGATCTACAAAGTGAAAGCATGTTTCAATGTCCATCAAGAAAAAAAAAAAAAAAAAAAAAAAAAAAGTGGAATTGCTGCAAAAAATGGATAAAGGCATATCCTTTGATTCTCTAACCATTCCGGAATATGTTTATCAATTTCACGCTGCTGTGCGAGGGGGGGGGAATGACGCGGCACACAATGAACTGGAAGTTGATCTGTCAGCACTATCCTTATCTTCAGGGCAGATGTTTTTATTTTATTTGGCTTATAACTCCTTACTAAATGCAGTATTTCATCTCGATGTACTCCGTCTTTGATATGATTTAAATCAAATTCCTCGTGATTATAAATATCACGAATACACATCAAATAGTTTTCTGGTTGCAATTTTCTAATTTCAACTATGCATAATATATGCTTTAAGCATGCACGCATTGGGAGAAATGTTTAATAAAGTAAACAAATAAATATAAAGTTTTTTTTTTTTTGTAAATTTTGATACTCTTTAGATCATAATTGCTCTTGATTTCATAAATTACGGTTTCATATTTTTAATTTTATAATTTCTGCATGCCATCTTACCAGATTTAAACTGATGATCTATAATCCGGAAAAACCGATAATCTGGAATCGCCGAAGTCCCGACGAGTCCGGATTAAAAACTTTTGACTGTAGTCAGTATGTGCTTAAATAGTTCCAAGATGAGAAACTTTTTGGAAAGTCAAAATTTACTCCCCACTCTTTTTTTGTCTATTTTTAAGTCAGCAAAGATTAAGAAAAATGAAAATTGGGAACTTGGTTCTGGCCTGAAATACAGCATGAGTTGGTCTTAATCAAGCTTTGCTTTTTCTGGGATTATGAATTACTTGCAAAATAAACATTTCTTGGTGAAGTCATTTAATTTACAGACCAGAGTTAGCAAAACATCCAATGGATGAATAATTAATCAACTGCTTGGAAGATTTTTAGTTGCACCCTGGGTTTAATGTCAGGGAAGGGAAATTTTTTTTTATTTGAGTACATAAATGTTTATCCTCTACAGCCTGTATTTTCTAAAAGCATCTTCTACAGATTTCTGTTTTGAAAGCTGACTGTGCATCAATTTACAAATCATTGGAGAGGTTCATCAAGATCTAAAGATGTTCATCAGCAGTTAGGCTGTAAAGTTACTGAGCACAGGTAGTTTGACCTGGGTTCATTTCAAGGCAAATGGGCTAGCTGCCTGGGTGTTTTTGTAGTTTCCTCAATATCTAACATAAATATAAGCCAGTTTCCCCATGAAAGTCCTCCACAAAAGCGTTCCTCCCCTTACACACATAGCTCTCAGATGCTTTGCTGTAATCAAATAAATCAAATCAAACCACATTTCAAAAGAAGAAAGATTTATTTTTATTTGTTTACCTATAATGAAGTGGCCCTTAATAGGTCTAAGTTTGCTTAACTTCAATTTGAATATACTTAAATTTATCGCATAACCTCCCACTGACAATATGTAAGTTCACACCAAATAATCTGCAATGCCAATTGTTAGCCAATACCCTTGACAGAAACTGATGTGCTCTGATTTAATTTTAATTCGACCTTAAAGAGTCTTATGAGAAGAATTATGACTTTCTGGATCTGATTATTAAAAACTGTATTTATACAGCATTTAATAGCTAAATTTGTATAAGCTATATTTGTTAATTACTTTAGTTTCTGACTGGTGGCCTATGTGTTAATTTTCAAGCAACATTCAACTTGTAGGTCATCAATAACCTTAAACGACTGCTTGGATAAGTATAGCTATATCTTGATTTATGCTTAATTTAAATACCAAAACTTACAGCATTGTCTCACATTGGTGACATTATGAGTTGATTCTCCAAGAAATCTTGAGCCTGTAGAGCACTGCCTTGAGAGGTGTTGGCATGTATTTAATCTTAAAATATACCTAAATTTATAGCACTGCCTAACACCAGCAGCCAACTGATTGTTTCCAAGTGACTGACTGCACTGAAGGGCATTGTTATCCTCAAAGTTAATTTTTATTTTAAAATCCATCCAAATTTACTGCACTGCCTCACACTGGTGACCTATGGATTGATTTCAAGTGGCCATAAATTTGTCCTAATTTAAAACGCTAATAATTTATTTTATCAGCTTTTTAAATTCATTCCACATCTTCACAATGTGATACATGGATCATTTCAATGACTGTCAGCCTGTATGTCCCTGGTTGCAAAAAGCCTTTTCATGGGTTTAGATTTAATTTTAATCTATGCATGTATTTAAATTTATTCCCTCCCGCATTGGTGATCTAGTAATTCATCCCACACGAGTCTCAGCCGATAGGTAAATAGCCTCCATGGGCACTACTGTGCTTGGATTAAATTTCAGTTTTAAAATCTATTTAAATTTATTTTACTTGCAGCATCTGTGATACCTGGGTTGACTTCTGTGACCCTTGATGAGCAAGACTTGATGATCATCAATATATTCTGGTTTAATTTTAATTTAAAATGCTATTTAAATTTAGCATTTGTTTCCCACTGGTCTCCTATACACTGACCTAAATAGTTGTCAATTTCAATGTAACCAATGACCTTGATGATCAATTTCTGTTTAATTTTGTTTTAACAATTTAAATAACATTTTCTAATGTTATATATTTTGAGGCTAATACAAAATTATTTGGATTTAAATCCTCCTGAATCTCATAAAGACTTTTACCAACTTTTATTCATACACAACTTTCATTCACAAATTCTGATTTTTTAAAAATTTTAATTAAATAGAAGTAGATCCATGTTGATGATGGATACTGATCACCAGTGATCTAAACATTGACAGTCAGTAGGGTTAATCTGTATGTCACTAGTGTGGGACAATAAAGCAAATTTAGGTAAGTATTTTAATTAAGATTAAATCGAAGCACACCAGCGCCCATTAAGTATGTTGACTTACAAGATGAGAGACGTTTGGGAGTCAACTCATAGGATACTAATAATAATGAGCAGTGTAGCAAAGTTATGTAGATATTTAAACTAAAATTAAATTGAAGCAGACCAATGTTTAAAAGCAAATAGTCATAAGAGATTTATGGTTACTGGCAGTCAACCCATAAGGTTGCTGGTGAGAAAAAGTGCACTAAATTTAGAGAAATTGTTAAAATTAATATAAAAGGAAAGATATTATTTACTGTAACAGAAGGGCAGTGATAACTATTGAAGTCACCACATATCAGCAAAGTCTTTGATCAGTAGTTGATCAGTAGAACTATGAGTTTTCAATGACCAATAAAGGGCATAAGTTACTGCTGCAAGGGCAACATATTTAATACAAATTTCTCAGTATAATGAGATGTAATTCTAACACTAATGAGGACATTTCTAACACCAAAATTATCTTCATATAAAATTTTAATTGACAAAATTGTTTTTAAATATGTTCAGAAAATATAAATATTACAAAAATGCAATAAAATATCATAAAATGTAATCTCTTAATAACTGATTTGAGATTTTTTATATTCAAAAGTAAGTAATTATGCTACAATACAATTCAGTTAAAATTTTCATGAATTTTTATTTTTTGCACAATAATCACAATAATTTGAGTTATTTTTTCAATGCAAAATAATTTGTATCAAAACATGTAATACCTGCACATCAAACTGAGTGACAACATTCTTGTCAAACTGTGTTTTAAGTAACCATCTAACTACTTCAATATTCTTGATATCATTTCCAACTTGAGTTTCACTCTCCTAAAAATGGAAGCATGACTTGATTAAATTAAATAAAAATTCATCAATTTGTAACTCACATAAAATCAAAAAAGCACAGTCATTTAAGTTTTTTTTTTTTTTTTTTTTAATGGCTGAGGGCTTTATTTAATGACCATTAGCTTTGTGCCACTACAAGGGCCGTAAGTGGTGGTAATTTCATTATGGAAGCACCTAACAGATGGCCACTGTTGCCTCCTATGAAGGGATGGACAGTAAACAACCCTGCCTTCTCCAGGATTCAAGTCTGGGAAAATCGCTATGGCAGTCAGGGTGACTGACCACTATACTGGCTGGGTGGCTATAATCATTTAAGTAAAATGCATATAAATAATTCCAGCAATTAATAAAAGTCACAAATAATAACATTAAGACTATTGAAATATAATACACTAATAAAGAAATATAATACACTAATAACTAAATGCAAAAAGTAAGAATTCATTAACATAATAATTAAAACAAAAAGGTCACAAGAACATGCTAACTGAATTAATATACCAATAATAAAATAGTAATTTTTGAAAAAAAATATTATGCCTTGTGAAAAATGAATTTTATATAAAAAAAATTTCTATCGACTTACTTTTTTCCCACGATGTTTGGCCACAAGATTTCTAAATACAAGTGATGGCTTGTCTTCAATTGCCCATCCAGCTTTACACTGGTATGATCCTAAAAATAATTGTACCTATGTATTGACACAGTTGTAACTGCAGTTATTGATACATCCTTACAGACATAGCATTATTGCTGTTTTGCATTACTATACATTTAAATGAGAACATATAAAGCTAGATGATTTGATGATCAAAATCTGTATTTTTTATTCAGTTTATGAAAGAGCAATTTTTTTAAAAAATTTGTTTTATTTATATACTTTAATCAAATTGTAGAAAATATTTAGAAAATGCAGGTGTTTGAGATTATGTTTAAAAAACTGTAGCAACTTTAAATGGCACATTTTAAAACCCGATGTAGTTTAAGGCAAATAATAAAAACTCAACTTTGAAATTTTGTAATTTGCATGTTCAAATAGGCATCAATGATTATCCAGAAGCAATTATAAAAATTTTAATTTTAATAAACAAAATAAAGGTCATCCAGGTTAATTCTTTGTCAAAGGTAAACTAGAGGGAATTATTTAATAACTATAAAAGATAATATTTTTAATTTTGATGCAGAGTAAACAATATTTTGATAATAACATTATAAAATGTTCCTACAATCAAGGTGGAGAAGTGCTGCATGACTCCACAGTATCTTTTATTATGGAATTTTACCGATTCCGTACTTTTTCAATGTCATTATGTGCATCAGTATAATCAGTCCTCTAACTTTAGCAATACTTCACTGCTTACTGTTCTGTAAAAAGTAGGTTCCAAATTTAAATTATCAAATTTCAAACTGCAAAAGGAAACAAAGAAATAGCAATTACATTTTTCTTTACAAAAACTAAATTAGCTTATTGAAGAACAAAATTACATGACACCAAAGGACACATTTTATCTGTGTGCTATGATAGTTTTTATTTATAAGAATAGCCAGTAGGAAAAGATGTAAATACAAAAATTCAATTTAGTTTTTTTTTTTTAATATTCAATAAAATTTAGTACTATTTCACATATTTAATTCTGCTGATTAAATATAATATAACAAGAAAATGTTCTCTTGTTTTTATAAATTTAAGAAAACTAATTTCAGAATTACATTACAAACCAAAGCAAGTCTACAAACAAACAGTGTTAAAGCAATATAAAATAAAACTCAAACTAAAAGATTTACCATTGTCAATGATTAGAGGAATTCTTGAATTGTGAAGCTCTTCTGTATATGACAGAAATGGGTCTTGGTGCACCTGATACACAGGTAAAGAATAAAGAGTTTCTGAAATTAATAGAGATATTAGCTTTTAAAACAGACCACATACACACACATTCACATAATTATAAGCACATACATACATGAAATTATCAGGAGCTTTTGCAGATTACCAGCTCATTCTAGAACTGATGAAGCAGATATATCGTCTGTGAAAGTTCCTGCACTTTTATTTATATTTAAATATGGTTCCATGTTTAAATACAAATAAAAGTGCATGCAAACTTAGAGTATTTTATCTAATTGATTTGACTGAGATTACTTTGAGATGATGCTAAGAATACAGATTTAGATAAGAATCCCAGAGAAGGCATGGATGTTTGTAAGCATATAGTATCTGTGCTGCAAGGGGACATTCAAAATACATGGCAAGCTGAAAAATCTTCTCTAGAAGTTGGTGGTAGAAATCATATTCTCAGAGTTGATTGCTTCACTGTATTTTACGCACCCCATTCAAACTATTAAAAAGTTAAAGCATGTGGAATTTTGGTTAGTCTATATTTTAGTGTACCCCCTTGGATTATCGCCAAGTTGTTGTTTAATTTACAGTAAACTGAGTAGTTGAATGCTACTGAAACCCTCTTACGACATGACTGATTGTGTGACTGCAGTGAATTTGACAGACTGGAAAATATTTGTAAGGGCTTATTTATGTGTTGGATGTTGGTTAGGAAGTATGTTGCTTATTTTGTGCTTTACATTGAAAAACGCCTGCTGGTGGTATGATTAACCTAAAGTTCTTATTTTGTGCTTTACATTGAAAAACGCCTGCTGGTGGTATGATTAACCTGAAGTTTCTGTACACTTAAGAATGATTGAGAAAGAAAACATTGTGTTGCGTGCATAAGGGTTCGTAATAAATTGAATGCATAAGTCCGACGAAAAGTGAATAAAATTTATTCTTATCACAACAACAAATAAAACAAAATTCTGAAATTTCCTCAGAGATATTTGTACAATATCACAATATCTCACAGTAATTATATTTTAAACTACTAAATTAAAAAAACACTGAGAAAGCTAATATCTCACCGCAAATTCGCTACAATAAATATCAGCATTAAGTAAACAACTGTTTAGGACTGTGTAAGGACCATCCCAAGGTGACACTAATTTATGACTAAGTCCTTTTCGTCGAATTGGGTTTCACATTCATACCTTGTCGAATTGATGTCCAGCAGCTCTCATGCCATATTGGGTCATCACTATTTCCGTTGCCAAGTTCACTCGCTCTCGTGCAAAATTGTGCATCACTTCAAATTGGGTCTGGAAGTCTTGGATGTATTCCTCAGACAATGAAGGTGCATCTGGATAGCTATCAAACAAGAGATCGCAAGACAGTGAAGGTCACGACCGTTGAGCATCTGTCATGGAGAATAGATGGTAGTCTGGTGTTTCTCTTTAACCCTAGTATGATTTTGACAGCTTTCTGAGCAGGGTCTTTCAGGCAAGACGTCGGTGTTTCCAAGTGAGGATCTCTCCTGTTGATGGATAACTGTGTCCTCTGATGCTGAAAGCAGGCTGTTGTTTTTGAAGTCCAAGGAAAAATTGTATTCTTTAAAAAGTCCAGTCCGGGTATGGAAGGATCTGTTACCTTTGCCACATATGCTGTGTGATGGTAGGCGGCACTTTCAAATGTGATGTTCATATTTAACTTCCCATATCTATGCCCATTTTATCACCAGATGCAGTCTGGAGGGTAGCACAGGATGGTGTCCAAATGAGTTTATCCTTAAATTGTTGAGCTAAATCTTTTCGAATGATGGTAATATTAGCTCCTGTATCAATGATCATATTGCAAGGAACTCCATCGATATGCCCATTGATAGATAGTCCATTACAGTTGCCACTCTCTGTAGGAATCTTGAGCGCTTTTTTTTTTTTCATTATTTGGCAATCTCTTTTCCTCAATATGGTCATTAATTTGGTTCCTGTGTTGTTACTGGGAAATGGTCTTATTTTCTGTGCTCTGGAGTGTTCAACAGTTTCTTCGTAAGTGGCCTTCAGCTCCGCAGTTCCAGATCTTTGGTTTCTTGTCACTCCTTTTCCGTCTCATGGCATTAGTCTGTTTAAATTGACTGTCTTAATTTCCTTGCTCTGGGGTGTTCTGCAGTTCCTTTGTATATGGCTTTTAACACAGCAGTTCCAGCACTTTAGGATTGGTTTCTTTTCATTCCTATTCATTTCTCGACACTGACTTGTCTGGTCAAATCATCTGTTTTATTTTCCGTGTCCTGGGGTGTTCTGTAATGCCATTGTATGTGGCCTACAATACCACATTTCCAACACTTTAAAATCAATTTTCTTTCATGCTTTCCCTGTATCAAAGCACTGACTTGTCTCGATAAATCACCTAAATGAGACATCAATTGATCTAAAGGCTCGCGGACTAAAGCAGCTCTGATTGGGTGTCGGTCTCTAAGAGTTACTTCCTGGGCTGCCTCGAATTTAATGTCCTTGACATTTGCCATTCACAGAGCCTTCTGTATTTCTGAATCCTGAATGCCATCGATGAAGTACTGCAGGGATAGTATTTTCCTTGTTTCTGTCAGGCACTCAGAAAATGTGAGGTGAGATAGCATTTCAACATCTGTGGGGACCTCTTGGAGTGTTTTGGTGGGCTTCTAATGATGGGACTTTAATTGAAGCCTGCTGTAGTCTTTTAAACATTTCTCGCCGAAGTGCAGCTCCAAAACGCCGCATATAGCATCAAAAGTTAGCCTTTGGTTTTCATGAAGTGTCTGAAGGATATCCGCTGCGTCTGCTCTTGGAGAAGCGGTAAGATGACAGGCCTTAGCTTGAAAATCCCATTCATTCGTTTCTGCCATTGTTGTAAATATTGTCTTATACACTTGAAAACAGGTCTTCCCATCAAATGTGGATACCTTCAGAGAGGGACTAGCAGGCATCGGTAAAAATTTAAAACCATCTGCATTGCTCCCTGGTGTTGCTACGAATTTCTTTAAGGTGTCAACTTCAGAAACCTTGTCATCAATTTGTTGTTTGATTTGTTGTTGGACAGCAGAAACTCTTCCTTCTATATGTTCTTTCACAGAAGAAACTCTTTCTTCAATGTGTCCAACTCTGTTTTCAACAGCATCTATTCTGCCTTCCATAGCCTCAAATTTGTGTTCTATTATGAAAGTAATATCATTTTTTATTTCCTCTAGACCTGCTTCAATCTTTTCTTGAACAGCTTTTATCTCTTCTTTAACAGATTCTTCCATTTTTTTGAACGGTTTTCATCTCTGATTTAACAGATTCGTGGCCAGCTTTTCTCTTCTCTTTAACGGAATCTTGGCCAGCTTCCATCTTTAAACACAAGAAAAGCTGCAATCAGCTGTCTTAACTGTTCTTCCATTGCTCTTGTAATAGCCATTCAAATCCCACTTCTGACTCCAAAAAAATGTTGGATGTGTACGGGTTCGTAATAAATTGGATGCACAAGTCTGATAAAAAGTGAATAAAATTTATTCTTATCGCAACAAATAAAACGAAATGCTGTCATTTCCTCAGAGATATTCATATAATATCGCAATATCTCACAGTAGTTATATTTCTAATAAAATGCTTAATAGACCTCAATTAAAAAAAAACACACACACACAGAAAGCTAATCCGATCTCACCGTGAATTCGCTACAACAAATATCAGCATTAAGTTACAACTATAAAGCAACTGAATTTAGATGTTTTCCTCCAGCTTTTATAATCTTTCTAATCCTGCATGAGAATATTTCTGTTATTTTCTCGATTTTTCTGGGTAACAAAAGAGTACAATTATGAGATATCTATTTATTAAAATGTTAAATGCGCATGCTCCTGTATTTTAATTTTTCTGCCATAGCTCTCTCTTCAAATAAATCTAATGCTGCATTGCATGGTAATATAAAACAATTTCAATTACAAATTCTACTAAAAATAGCTAAATAAATACAAGAAACTGTAACAATTGATTGACTGGTGTGTAAATGGAGATTTAAATGGCTTCGTTCATCTCTCTGTAGTGAGATTTAAGAATTTGGAACTGGAGCTCTTATCAACACTATGGAAGGTATGCGAGGTGTAATAAAAAGGGATTTTCGAAAGAAATATCATCGATAGTTGAAAGAATATTTTTGATTTTTACTTATGTGAATTTATGTGGTGACAATAGTACAGAGATTCTAGTTTAGATAATTTTAAATACGTTTTGGATGTTGTTAAGGAATTCTGTGTGTTTCACGTGCCGAATAAAAAGAAATTTTAAATAAGGTAAGTCAATACAGTCAAAAGTCGTTAATTCGGACACCCATAATCTGGAATGATCTATAATCCGGACCTCAAAGCTAAAATCTTTCTGCGCATGTGCCGCGTTCACGCATGCGCATAGGCATTTACGTGTGCGCGCAAGACCTTTACGACTGCGCATATGCATCTGCGCAAGCGCAGAATACGTTTTCGCGTGTGCGTTTAATGTATAATGGACGGTATAAGCTAAAATTATCTAATTATCTATTTCAGTTAATGTTGATGATTGCGTTGTTCCTTAATCTTCGAATTGGATCCGGCTTATTATTTTTTGCAGACTGTAAGAGCAATTTTATAAAAGTAAGCTTGAACTTTCGATTATGTCAAATAGAATTTCCGATGCTGGAGCTCCCAAAGGATCTAGAAAACGAAGGTATGTTTCGATGTCCATCAAACAAAAAACGAATTGCTACAAAAAATGGATAAAGGCATATCCTTTGTTTATCTAACTGTTCCGAAATCTGTTTATCAATTTCACACTGCTTAGCGCGCGGGGGGGGGGGGGGATGTCGCGGCGCGCAATGAACTGGAAGTTGATCTGTCAGCACTATTGTTATCTTCAGGGCAGATGTTTTTATTTTATTTGGCTTATAATTCCTTACTAAATGTAGTATTTAATCTCGATGTACTCCCGTCTTGATATGATTTAAATCAAATTCCTCGTCATTATAAATATCACGAATACAAATCAAATAGTTTTTCTCTGCTTGCAATTTT